AATGTCCACACAGAGAACGTCGACATTTTCATCATCAAATGCACTGTTATCATTTACAACATATTTGATGTCATGCTTTATGAACACACCAACACCTCCGCCTCGTTTGCTTTTTCTATTTTTATATACAAAATTGTAATTATTTAACTTAATTAAATCAACTGTTTCATTGTTCAACCACGTTTCTGATATTACTATAATTTTGAAAAAGTCGTCGAATTGTTTTAAGAAGATTTCTAGATTTAATAATTTATGAAACAAACTTCGAGCATTCAGATGAATGATTGGTAGGTGATTGTTTTTCATTTTATTCTTCAATTTTATTATGTTAGATAATTCTTTTACAGTGTAATATTTTGATTCTTCGAGATTCTCTTCTATGAAGTTTTTATTCATGTATGTATGTATGTATGCATGTATGTATGTATGTATGTATGTATGTATGTATGTATGTGTGTGTGTGTGTGTTTGTTTGTATGTATGTGTGTATGTATGTATGTATGTATGTATGTATGTATGTATGTATGTATGTATGTATGTTTGTATGTTTGTAGGTGTTTGTGAAAGTGTAAATTCATACAGACACGTACAACTACTTACAAGATACATAAACATACCATAAGCCAGGTATAAAAATTTTTGTTTGTCACTTCGTTAGTTTGTTTGCTTGTTTGTTTGTTTGTTAGTTAGTTTGCTTGTTCTTTTTGTTTGTTTGCTTGTTTGTCTGTCTGTTCGTTAGTTAGTTTGTTTGTTTGTTGCAAAAGAAACTAGCATCATCATCATCGTCGTCATAATTACCATCACTATCAGAATCACTATCATCATCGTCATCCTCACCACCATCATCATCTTCTTCATCATTTATAATTGGTGATGTATGCGTATCTCTTTGGTATTCATCAAGTTTTTATCAACCAGACCGAATGGAGACATGATGATGATGATGATGGTGACGACGACGACGACGACGATGATGATGATGGTGATGATGATTTTGCAGCAACAATAACAACAACAACAACATCATCATCATCATAATCGCTGCTCCGATAAGATCATCGAATCTAATAAAAAATCATCTTCGTCATCGTCATCATCATCCTGGCAGCCCTCGTAATCAACATCAAAACAAACGAATGATTGACTGACGAATAACTAATAAATAACAAACTTCTATTCACTCACTCACTCACTCACTCACTCACTAACTCACTCACTCACTCTCTCACTCACTCACTCATTCTTTCATTTTTTTTTCTTCCATTCATTCATTTATCTACTAGTTTTTTACTCTCTCTCCCCCTCTCTCTCTCTCTCTCTCTCTCTCTCTCTCTCTCTCTCTCTCTCTCTTATCTCGCTTTCTTCACAAAAAAGAATTTTGTTGGATAAAAATAAAAATGAAAGGAAAAACTAAATAATAATAATAATAATAATAATAATGATAATAATAATAATATTGATAATAATAATAATATTGATAATAATAATAATAAATAAATAAATAATAATAATGATAATAATAATAATAATGATAACTTAACTTTTCATATTATTATTGTCATTCTCGATTTCCATTTTCTATCACCTATAATTCTCATTCCAGAAAATTAAGTCTTAGTCTTCTTGGGCAAATATAAAAAATCTTTGTCAAGTTACATTACGTTAATTCATTCGTTTAATCGTGCACTCACTCATTCATTCATTCATTCATCCACTCATTTATTAATTCATTTGTTCTTTATTGCATTCATTCATTCATTCATCTATCAATTCAATCTTTCATTCATTCACTTACTGTTGTGGTTTGTTCCCATTTTGACAAAAAGTCATCCTTGGCTTCCACCATGAAACTCTTCACTGAAAATTATTATTATTTTCCTTAATTATCATTATTATTGTTAATAATAATAATAATAGTATTTTTATTATTATTTTTTTTTATTATTGTTATTATTATGATCATCATCACAACTTACTAAACTCGGAAAATTTTTTTGCGTTGGAAGACATTATTATTATTATTATTATTATTATTATTATTACTATTACTATTATTATTATTATTATTAGTAGTAGTAGTAGTAGTCGTAGTAGTAGTAGTAGTAGTAGTAGTAGTAGTAGTAGTAGTAGTAGTTGTAGTAGTAGTAGAGTAGTAGTAGTAGTAGTAGTAGTTGTAGTAGTAGTTGTAGTAGTAGTAGAGTAGTAGTAGTAGAAGCAGTTACTTGAAATAATCAACAAAATAACTTCTAGTATAATAAAGACAACAATAACAATAACAGTCAATATTGTTAATATTATGGTTGTTGTTGTTGTTATTATTATTATTATTATTACTTTTATTATTATTATTATAAATAAATATATTTTTCATGTATAGTCAAACAGTTACGAAGCGTTAACAGTAGAAAAGCGGGTTATCCTTCAAATCAATTAATATATTTTTATTATTATTGTTATTTTTATTGTTATTATTATTATTAATGTTATTGCTGTTGTAGTTGTTGCTGATGTAGTTTTTTCAATGATAACAATGTTTCGTGGATGAATTCGTTAAGAATAATAATAATATCTAACGAAATAACAACAATAATTATAACAAAAATAATAATTATAATTAATTATTATTATTATTTATATTATTAATTACAAATATTAAATCATATCATTGTTATCCTCCGACTGAATGCTATCTCAAAAAACATAACGAGCACTACCTTAAAACATATTTGGTTAAAGTTGCTATTATTAATGATACTTGTATGTATGTATGTATGTATGTATGTATGTATGTATGTATGTATGTATGTATGTATGTATGTATGTATGTATGTATGTATGTATGTATGTATGTATGTATGTATGTATGTATGTATGTATGTATGTATGTATGTATGTATGTATGTATGTGTGTGTTTGTTTTGTTTGTTTGTTTGTATGTATGTGTGTATGTATGTATGTATGTATGTATGTATGTATGTGTGTGTGTGTGTGTTTGTTTGTTTGTTTGTATGTATGTATGTATGTACATTTGCATGTATGTTTTGTTTGTTTCTTTTTGTTTGTTTTGTTTTGTATTTATGTATGTGCTTATTTATTTCAAAAATTATATAAATTGAAATAGCAGTAGCCCACTAGAAGTTGTAGTATCAGCAGCAGTTGTGGTAGTTATAGTAGTGGTGGTGGTAGTGGTGGTAGTAGTAGTAGTAGTAGTAGTAGTAGTAGTAGTAGCAGCAGTAGAAGTAATATCATATAGAAACAAGCAAGATAAAATCAAATTATTGATTGGAGTATAATGTTTAAAGTTTTTCAAACGTAAGCTATTTAGAATTCATCATTTGGATGATGGTGATGATGAAGATGATGAGAATATTGTTGTAGTCGTCCTTGCTGATGTTTTTGTTGTTGCTGCTGATGCTGTTTTTGTTGTTGTTGTTGATGATGATGTTGTTATTGATGCTTTTGTAAGTAAGCTGATTTGATGAAACATAATTGTTCAAATGTTGAATATGTATACTTAATGTTTCTTGTACTGTTTGTGGCCTTTTTGATGTTACCAAACTTGACATTACCAATACTAATTTCTCAGTTCAGAGGCGTGGGCAAACTTTCTGCCGTGAGGGCCGCAGTGAAAACTACTTTACTTTTGAAGGGCCGCATATGTACTTAAATAGCAAATTTAGCCGTAGTTTGCCTTGCCCTGTCTTAGTTAATGTCATCTTACTAGGCGTTAATGTCTTTAATGTCGCTTTATCGAAAACAGCATGTGGTTCTTTTACGCTGCTGTAATTGATGTTAAAACGTTTGCAGCAAGCCTTAGTGTTGGTGTTTTTATTTTATTAGGTTGATCAAAAATAAGATTACGAACGTATGTAAAATATGTAATGAAATATAAAAATGTATGTACGGTTTGTTGTTTCTATTTATAGAATTCACTTTGTTTATTTACTTTTTTATACTTCACCTTCTCTCTTTCTCTCTCTCTTTCTCTCTCTCTCTCTCTCTCTCTCTCTCTCTCTCCTTCTTATCTACTATAGATCTTGTTCTTTTATCAACACCTCATCTTTTGTGTATAAATTTCTCTCTTGCATTATTTTATGACTTTATTCATATGATATTTACTTCATATGTGTCTTTGTACCCTTTCTTTACGTTCTCTCTATCTCTTTTCTCACTCCCTTTTTTTTCTCTCTTTTTTCTCTCTTTGTGTGTTACTTTGGTATTTTTTATACTTGTATAATTTTTGGCACGTTATAAATTTTTTATATTCTTTGTTATCTTTCTTTTCTTTCTTCGAAATTTTCTCTCTCTCTTTCTCTCTCTCTCTCTCTCTTTCTCTCTCTGCCTTTCTCTCTGTCTGTCTGTCTGTCTCTCTCTGTCTGTCTCTCTCTCTCTCTCTCTCTCTCTCTCTCTCTCTCTGTCTCTCCAACTAATTGTATGTCTGCATGTAGGTTGGTTTCAGAATCAGGACAAAAATTTTTTTTTTCGTACTTTTTAATATTTATACTTCGGCTCATTTTTTCCCTTTGCAATTGATTGATGATTTGTTGTTTTAGGTTCGATCTGTTTGCGTGTGTTGAGATGCACAAAGCGTACAAACACGTACGTGTACATGAAAATAATACATACGTACACCTAAAAGATACAAAATACATACATACATACACACACAAACATACATTTCAAACGCTTGTTTTTATTGTAACTACAACAACAATAGTGTTCTTCATAATCTAGCTGTAATGTCTTTCTTCAATTATCGCTTGATCTGACTCAATGTGTCTTAAACTTAATCCTTCTAAATTTGAATTAATTTGTTTTAATAAATCTAAACACGCCATTACTATTCCTTCTATTATCTTACCAGATTCTCAAACTCTTGATGTATTATCAATGTATTAGTATGATGTATGATATCTCATAAGTTTCGTAGTCTAGGCTTTATCTTTGGCTCTAGCATGTCTCTTTCTTCTCGGATTAATAGTGTCGCTAGAAGCTCTTACTTTCCTCTACGTAGAATAAAAAGACTTTTGCCTTTTCTTGACAATCCTACTCTTCTCCTTCTTGTTACTTCGTTAGTCTTATCTAGGATTGATTATTGTAACTCGCTCTACTATGGTTTTCCTGATTCTACACTCTATCCTTTAAATGAAGCTTTTAACTCAGCAGCTTGTCTAGTTGATCGTGCCCCTTTCTTTTCTCATATATCTCCACATCTTGTTCTCTTGCACTAGCCATAGACTATTTTTTAAAATTTGCACATTTTCCTATAAGTCTCAATCTAAATTATTTCCTAAGTACTTATCAGATCCTATTAATTGAACTTAAACGCGCCGGTTTACGATGGTCTTCTTGTTCTCTGGAACTCTCTGACTACTTCTCCATCACTTACGAAGTTCAGAGCGGATCTCAAGACCCATCTGTTTGCGATATTCATTGGGAAGTACTGTTTACCTAACGGTGTTGATAACAAATCATTACATTCATATGATTTTAAACGATTTTATTTCAATTATTCTTCATCCTCATTTGCCAGATGGCGCTAGAAAATCTACCAAGTCAGTGTGCTGAAGAGAATTTGGAGCTGCAATGACAAGCGAGTGTAAATTTTAAGAAAGTTCTTTAATAATAAAATTCTCGGTCATGCTTCATTTTATTTCGTTCATTATTTTATTTTAAATCTCTCTCTCTCTCTCTCTCTCTCTCTTTCTCTAAGAAAAATACTCTCTTTCTCTCTCCTCTCTCTCTCTCTAAGAAAGATACTCTCTTTCTCTCTCTCATGGAGATATAATGAAGGATAACCATGAATAAATATTATGTAGAATTGGTAAAATTTTTGATGTATATGTCGGTACAGGTCAGTAAATGATGTACTAGTATCGATCGGTAAATTGACGGTTTCGGTCGGTAAATTTTCATTTTCGCCGTGGTTTCAGAGATTTATTACACAACAAAGAAATATATTGCCAAATTTTTATTAAAATTAAGAAAAAAATATGGTTGGTGGAGAGCCATAATTTAAAAATGACTTCAATATATATTCAAAATAATATTGTAAGAAGGTGTTAGTATATGTATTTTTCGTTGTTAAACCTGATCATCATCATCGTTGTCGTCATCGTCATCATCAACATTACTCATCATCATCATCACCACCACCAACAACAACAGCAACAACAGCAACAGAATCATCACATCATCATTAACAACACCGACAACATTGTTGTGAAACTTGAGAAAAAATTGTTTCGATATGTGTTGATAAGATTAACGAAAGTCTACAAATCGGAGTTGACGTCATCATCCAAATATGCGTATGCTGATGTTGTTGTAGTTGCTGTTGCTGATGTTGTTGTTGATGTTGTTGTTGTTGTTAAGGTATTATTAATGTGTTGTTGTTGTGGTTCAGGAAAAAAATTTATATGCTGTTGATGTTGTTGTTGATGATTCGTTGCGTTAGAAATTGATTTATCCGAATAGCTAACATCATAGTTTATGTTACTTTTGTTATTACTTTTAGAAAACTTTTGTTGTTGTTGTTGATGATTTGTTGATGACGTCAATTGTTGTTGTTGTGGTTGCAGTTGTCGTTGTTTTTCAACTGATTTCAACATCTCGTTCAAATACGTCTGTAGCGTATTCAGCACAGCATATATGGCCGTATTGCCAAAGGTATGTGTGATTAAAGTGAAGTGAGTTAGGTACTTTTGAATGATTGTATCGAGTTGGGATGTCGACGACGACGACGACGATGACGACGACGATAAAGTTTGTTGTTGTTGTTTGTTGATGTTGTTGTTGATGTTGTTGTTGTTGTTGTTGTTATTGTTGTAGAAGGATCGTTCTTCAGCTAATAAATCCATAAGTTCTTTCAAGATATGCCTGAATAGTGTGTGTTAATGAAGATGGTAATGACGATTTCAGTAATAAAAATGTTTATTACGATGGTAATAATGATGACGACGACAATGATGATGATGGTGGTGATATCATCGCCACCATCATCACATCAGCAGCAGCAACAGCATGATGATGATCATCACCATAATCAGTTTCATCATCATCATCATCAACATTCTTATATTTGACGTCATTAAACAAGATGGCCGTGTTCTACATGTACTTCTTCCTAGCTAACGAGATGAGCGAGCAATTCACAGCAGATAAATGGATGAAA